AACCATAGGGACCCCATGAAAGAAAAAGCTGTTTTGTTTTGTTTTTTCCTTTGCTTCTTTTCTTCTATTCTTGCTAGGACCTGCACCCCCACCTCACACATGCCTTAATGTATGTCGCCCTTGTGAAGGTCAAGGAGTTCATGATTTTTAAAAAATTATTGAGAATCCCAAATAAGCTTTTGTTTATTTGGAATATATCTATAAATATTTGAGATATTAGAAATGAAAACTGAGAAAAATATACAAATATTTCATTTATGTAATTGATCTTCAAACAACAATAATAAATAAACCTATTCCATGTTAACCTAAATAAAACAAAATTTAGTGAGGAGCTGACATTGTTTTACAGCTTTGCAAATCTCATTTATGTTGAGTTTCATAGATGGTCAGTCTCGGGATATATGATTTTGATTGAAGTAGAACAAGGAAATCTGTCCTCAGACATGTAGTTGGAAAAGGAGACTTCAGTGGACTTTGCCAAAAATTGTGGATATTCTTCTTTCATAATACACCAAAACTGAATAAATGGTGGTGTGGAATCTGAAACCATATCGACGAACATTTCATACTCTGTGACATTAAAATATACTTTGCTCTTGATGGATCATACATTGGTCATTTGGAAAATACTGGTTCACCAAATCATGCATATTTTCCAAATCCTGATGTATTTTGTTATACAATATGGAAAAAATATAGTCATTAATATAACCACCAATCTCATCAGAAAGTTTTCAAATATTGGAAAGTGGTCAAGCTCACAGCAGTAGATACTTTCTCCAAAACTACAGTTCTTGCCCGGAAATTCGTATTTTATCATTTGGCAACAAACACAGTCAGTTGTTTTTCTTGAGTGACGGGCTCATTTTATTCATTTTCCAGAAAATGTATGTTAAATAGCCGGTTATTCCCTCAAGCAAAAATGGTGTTTTATGGGGCGCCTGGGTGGCTCAGATGGTTAAGCGTCTGCCTTCGGCTCAGGTCATGATCCCAGGGTCCTGGGATAGAGTCCCACATCAGGCTCCCTGCTCCTTGGGAGCCTGCTTCTCCCTCTGCCTCTCTCTCTCTGTCTCTCATGAATAAATAAATAAAATCTTTAAAAAAAAATGGTGTTTTATGAAAAATGTGGCCATGTCTCCTAACAATTGAGTCTCAAGTACTGTTTCTCGAAACAGCCACGGTACCTCAGTACTCCCATAGACGTGCTTTCTGCCTACTTCCCATTTCCTCACACAAAGGATTAAAAAGTTGTGTGCTCGAGTATCTAGATTTAATAAAATTAATAATGTTTACTGCTTCATAAAAGACATTCTTAAGTGAAACTGGCTTTTTCTTTTTCCTGCAAAAGTGGTGGTGAAGAATGAACAGTGACAAGTGGGGCCCTTTAGCGCCACCACCTTGATTCCTGCTAAAGCACCAGCAATTTTACTCACCATTGCTTCTGCACATCAGTGCAAATGTCAACTTAGTGAAAAAGCAACATAACATCTGAGTGTCATTATGAAAATCGATTTGACCACCTGAAAGGGTCTTAGGGACTCTTAGGGACATTTTGAGAAGTGGTGCCTTAACATTATTTGAAAAGACGGGCTAGCTGTCCAAAAACCTCAGATTACATAATCCAATCAAGATAATATGATCAATTTTTAAAAGTCACGTGTCCACAAATGCCTACCATGTTTCAAGCACCATTAGGTGCTGGGTGCACAGAGGTAAATATAGGCATATGTGGCTCCCTAGGCCTTAGGGCTTAATTTTATTTGAGGAGACAGGCAATAGACAATAAGACTAGTTTAGACTATGAAAAGGCTATTAAAGGAAATAATCAGTATAATGTACTGGTGGCTGGCCTGGGGCAGGCAAGGACTCCTGTACAGAGAATGGTGAGGGGAGGCTTCCCAAGGAGGTGATACCCTTAATGGAGGCCAGAAAATGAGGAAGGGCCCAGGAAACAGCATTGCAAGCACAAGACACAGAAAGTACAAAGGCCCTGGGACAGAAATAGCATGGCATTTTTAAAGAATGGGAGAGGTAGGCTTAACGTTGGCCCTATTTCTCTTTCCTGCCTTTGTTCACTGCCTAAGGCTGCTCACCCAATCCGATGGCTTCAAAGTCATCTGCTGCATGCATGTCTGATGGCCACAAATGCTTTTCTTCCGCTGACCCTCCCTCACAGCCAGACTTACACCCCCAACCAAAATTTCCCCTTGGCCCCCAAATAATAGGCCAGTGCTCAAAACTGACCCGGTATACCTCAGGCTAGCAGTAAAGATGCGCCAAGAAAAACAACCACCCCACAACGACTCAAGCCCCATTACCACTAAACTCACCTCTGATTGGATTGGGGAGAATGCGCCCATTGGAACTGCAACTGACCCCCAAAACAAGAGAAGAAACAGACAATAAACCCAGACGCATGGGAGAGGTAGAGAGAGATGCTGCTTCTGGAGGAGGTGAATTTGACTCTTAGGAACACAGCCTGATGCTGTAACTGCCATCTCTACAGCTCCTTGGGACTGTCCTGTTGCTTCTGACTTGAATTTTGTGGAGTCTGACCCGAGTGTTCCTGGGTAACTGTTCAAAATTCCAATGCGTCGCTGCACCCCCAGGGACTCCGGTGCAATTGCTCTGGGCCAGGCCACCCAGCCCTCTATTTGTGCAGCAGCCAGAGCCCCGGGCCTCAGGGGTGTGCTTCCCACCTGGCCCCCTTGGTTACCGGCTCTGACTCGCACAAGGGTCCCAGTGACCGTCTCCTCCCCCGAGTTTTCATCCTTCCCGAAGCCCCAGGGGCACGCTGGCCGGGTTCAACTTGGACCTCGCCAGACGCGTCTGTGAAATGGGTGATACCGATCGCACGGCTGGAGATGGAGCTCGGAGGAGGAATGAGCGGAGGGGGCCCCGCTTGCCCTGCCCCACGCAGCAGCGGGGAACGCTAGTCCTCGCTCGTCCCGGCCGCGGACGCCACCGCCCACCGAGACCCGGGGGAAGGACCCCGCCGCGACAGAGGGCGGGCGAAACTGGCTTCTCAGACTCACCTTCACACAACCAAAGTGAGAAGGGGCTGGGTAGGGCAGCGGAGCAAAAATGTGCGTGCACCGGTAAAAAGAGAGCCGGGACGCTCGGTTGAGGCACCGCTGGGATTCGAACCCAGGATCTCCTGTTTACTAGACAGGCGCTTTAACCAACTAAGCCACGGCGCCGCCCGCAGGAATACCGCGAGAATCTGCTCCCCATCATCATTTAGTCCATCGGCCGTGCGCATGCGCGCGAGTTTCTCGGCAGCAGGCGCATGCGTGGTGCCCGGTTCGGCTCATACCCACGGCTGAAGCCAAGGGGTCGGATGCGAAAGCCGGAAGCTCCGGGAGCGAGTGGTGCGCGAGGCCCCGGCGGGCTGGTCTTCCCGGTCTCTGTGGTGTCTGCCCCCAGGCGCGGAGCCGCGGTGGCCCGGTGTTTGGGGGATGCCCGCGCGAAGTCGGGCCTTCTGCCCTCCAGACCTGGTGCAGGAGCCCCCCCAGGCCGCCCGGCGAGGCCGAGCCCCGGGTGTCCGGTCGGGCCGCACACCCCGCCGTGGCTCCGCGGTGAGCACGCAGCGCAGCCATCGCACCGGCGCCTTCAGCCCGGGAGGCGGCGGCGCTCCGGGGCCGCGCTCGGAGACCGGACCTTCCACCGTACCGCTTCTCCCGCCGACCCTGAGCCGGGGGGCGAGGCCGGGGGCACCGCGGGCGCCTGAGCTGGCCATGAGGGATCGGGAGCTTCGAGGGGGTCCCGACGCCGCACGTGGGGAGGTTTGTGCTGCGGGAGCAAGCGGGGCCCTCTCCACCCCAGCTTCCCGCCTCCCGCTTCTGGGTCTCCTCTCCCGGACAGCGCAGCCTCCTCGTCCCGACACTTGCTAGAGGGGCCTGCGAGCAACAACAAAACCAAACACTGCTCACCCCGTTCACCCAGCGGTGCCTCCGGTGGGAGAGCCTCATCCACAGAAATGTAAGTCCCTGCAAGTACGTAGGCACAGGAAGAGTCACTCCGGTATTACCTGTAATAGCAAAGCCCGAGTAACAACCTATGTGCCCATCAGTGGAGCGCTGTTGGCACCTGCGGCGCGGCCGTGCCCCACAGCAGGGGGCGGGGGGGACCGCTTAGCGATAGGACTTCTCTTTGAAAGACAGCCCAGTTGCTGGGACGGCGCAGAGCGGAGCTCTGGCATGTTCGTACATCATTGATGTGACTAAATGGAGACATCCCGAACAGCCAGCTCCAGTCGGACCAGTCACCGGGGTTATGACTGAGGAGGGCAGCACCGAGCCCAGGACCTGCCCAAATAATGGCCACCGGCTTATGGTTCTCCAGAGATCTCGGATGCCAGTCAAATGACCCTAAATAAATCAGGCCCGGAATTAAGTTTTTTAAAAGAAACCAAGGGTAATACTCATGATTGACGGAAATCACGGGAGCCATACCAGATGGGAAAGGGAGCCCTTGCTGTCTGTGAACTGAAACCTTTGTGCCTTCCGAAGTAACTGATTGATGGAGTGTGTGGTGCACTGTGGAAGCAGGAAGAGGGCTGTACATCTGCGTGGGCATTCTGGAAATGGAAAAGTCTGGGGTGGAGAGCATGAAACATTCTGTGATGGCAATCCAGACCTCCCCCTGCACTGGGTCGATGGCCATCTGGGAGCATTAGCCAGGGAGGCACCCACAGGGCCCTGCCACACAACAGCCTCCTCCGCAGAGGGGTCCCCACACATCTTCCTATTCATTTGACAAAGCTTTGCTCAGGAGCTGCGGGTGCTGGCCTGGCTGCCCCACAGGGCAACAGCAGAGTCCAGAATGTGATCCTAAAAGGAGACAGAATGAACACCAAGACAGAAAGCTTAGAAGTAGCCAAAACGCTTCTAGAATTCACATGCCCACTTGTTTTCTAAAGGAATCTAGATTTATTTTGCATGAAAACTAAAAACAGTGTTTGATCCCCAAGGGTGCTGTGGAGCTGAGGCCGTGCCCTTGCCCCAGTCTGACATGCGCTCCCGGCCAGGGTCCAGCCCTAGAGAAAAACGTGCGTCACAGGTGACGTGCTCAAGTCAAGTCAGCAAGCCCAATGGCCATCAGTCATCTGCGCCCGGGCTGCCGTCCTGTGACAGTGAGTCTTCCCCTCCTGATAATGATGGGGCCTCTGTTGACAAGTCTTTGGCATCCATCCGGCAGAACACACATTGGGTGACTGTTTCAGAAAAGATGTCACTTTCGTAGATGGAGAAAGGCCTGTCACATACTTCACACTGACATGCAATATTTTAAGAGAGAAAAGCAAGTGCTGGTCAGAGAGGACCGAGGCATCCAGGTAGAATTCTCACACCAGCTCCACCCCCCTCGGGCTGGGCCAAGGTAGGAGCTGCCTCGCCTCTCTCTGCTCTCTGCGCCCACAAGGGGGGACATTGCAGGCCGCTGAGAGAGAATGCACACGGGCTTCTCCCTCTCTTCCCCCGCAGAAGCTATGCAGGTACGACCAACCCATGCCCTGGTACGGGAGTCCTAGGGGCAGGAGTCGCCAGCCACTTGACTGGAGAGGACAGGAGGTGGGCATCTCACCCCATCCTCTGCCCTTGGCAGAGCACAACTGTGGGGCCTCAGAGCTATCCTAACTCCCTGACATCCTGGGGACCTAACTTACAGAACCATGAGAAGTAGGCGAGATTTCTAAACAAAGCAGTGATTTTACCAGCTGAAGAAGGTGCTGAGCCTCCTCCTCTGCCATCTCAGCCTGTTTCTGGCCAAGGCCCACCGAGAACAGTGGATACAGTGGCAGAGCTCAGCCGCCATGTCTGCTTCCCGCACACGAGTGAGCAACACCACGGGCCGGGCCGTCAGGCCATGGGCAGGGGTCTCGGGGATGCCCGCCATGGCACCATCCCCCTGCAAGATGGCATGGCCCTGCCCGGGCACGCCAAGCCCCTGCGCTTTGCCACCTTTGCCCACTCAGGGCACTAAGGCCTGCGGGAGAGGCATCCACACCCCACCCAGGGCAGGCCCTCTGGAAAACTCTCGCTTCTGAGGATTCTTACATTGATTTTGAGCAAGACAAACACAGAGGGCTCATCTTGGGAACAGCTTCAAGTACGTCTCTTTCTTTTCTTTGTTTTGTAAGAGAGACGTTCAGTCCTTTACCTACCTTATTCTGTAGCATAATTTCCCGTGGCTCAACCCCAAAATGGCAGGGCTCAGAGGCTCCTGGGGGCCGTGTCCCAGGTGGCAGGTGGAGGACACGGGCAAGCACTGCTCTGTAGCTAGTCAGCCTCTAGGGCCCAAGGGCCAACATGGCCACAGAGGCACAAAGACAAGGTCCATGTCGATCCCACCCCTCATCTCCCTGCCCTGCAGTGCTGCTCCATATCAGCCATTCCCAGCAGTGGCTCCCAGCGGGGCCTTCTAAGAGGAGACGAGCCTAGGTGGCTCCAGGGAGGGAGGACTCAGAGGACCCAGCATAGACTCCTCAAGCCTCTCAAGGTGCAGCCAAGCGTTTGTACTGCAAGGCCCCCTCATAGGGACTGGGCCTGCAGTACCCAGGGATAGACTCTGTGGCCAGCCCTGGCGACACCTGGTCAAGTGTCCACCCTACTACCACCATCCTCTGCTAGAGAAAAACAGGCCCCTAAGCCCCTTCCATGGGAAGGCACTGGGGGCCTGGCCAAGGGGTCTGCTGCTGAAGCGTAGGCGGCTAATGCCATGTCCAGCTGTGTGCCTAGCCATGCTCCTCTGACTCATTTCACTCCTCAAACACCCCAGGCTCGCTCCTGCCTCAGAGTCTCCACACTGGCTCTGCCCGCTGCTGGGAAGTCCTTCCCCTAAACATCTGCACAGCTCACTCCCTCACCACCTCAGGTCTTTAACAAATGTTAACCTTCTCAGTGAGACCTATCCTGGCCACCCTTTGAAGTGTGACCAGCAGGGGCACCTGAGTGGCTCAGTGGGTTGAGTGGCTGACTCTTGATTTCGGCTCAGGTCATGATCTCAGGGTCCTGGGATCGAGCCCCACGTTCAGCTCCCTGCTGAGCTGGGAGTCTGCTTGAGTCAGATCCCTCCCTCTGCCCCTGCCCCACCTATATGTGCCCTTTCTCTCTTTCTCAAATAAATAGTCTCTAGCGTTCCCATCCATTCCCCTTGCCTATGTTATTTTTCTCCAAATTATTTATTGGCATGTGATGTACAACATATTTTTCGTGATTCTAATAAAGAAGCATGGTCTCCTCTTTTAGAACATAAGTTCCCTCAGGGCAAGAATTTCAATTTGTTTGTCTGTGGTTTCATCCCGTTGCCCAATAAATGTTGGTTCAAAGAATAAATTTATTTGTGGAGGACACTAAGGAAAGCCTTCATTGAGCTTAATATTACCCAATACCAACCTGTTTCACCTTTAAGCCCAGGGCCTTTTTGTACTCGATTACCAAAGGAATTTGGTCAATTTCTTCAATATTCCATAGCCTCATGGTTTTGTCCTAAAACAAGTTAAACAGCAAACCAGCAGTCACAAGATGGGCCCCTTCAGCTGGGAGGCCCCAGGAGGGTACATTGCATCCAGGTTACAATGTGAAGAATCCCAACCTGCAGAGGAGCAGAATTAGGGTGACCAACTGTCCTGGTTTCTCCAGACCATCCAAACTTTAGTACCGTTAAGTCCCACATCCCAGCAAACCCATTCCAGGGTGCAGAAAGTCCCACTTTTCCAAAATAGATGTGGAAGTTTGAGGGGAATGGACAAAATCCATACAGTGGCCCCCAAAACAGGAGCTGAAAGCAAAACTATTTTTAATGACAAATGGATATGCATAGATATATGATCCACCTTCCATAGTTGCTGTCAGTTTTCCATGACTGGCAGTTCACAGTAAGTTTCCACTAACGGGTCATCCATTACCGTGATTCACTCCACTTGATGGGATTTAAGTATCCAGCGTAACTGCATTGTAATCACAAGTGTTAATGGTCTGCCTTTGATTTTACCTATGCAACTGGTGTGCTGTGTTTCAAGATATTGCTAGTAATATTTTTAACATTGTGAATGTTATGATCATGTTTTCTAAGAATTCAAATCATGAAAATGAGAATAATCACAAGACCAATGCCAGCATGACCCAGACATCACCAGAAGCGACGGCTAAACAGCTGTGTTTAATGACAGATGGACAAATAAAACTAGACTGGGAGCAGGGGCGGCGTGGTGAAAAACCAGAACACATCATAATGCAGGGTACGAGGAAAAGAATTTGGAATCAGGTATGGTGGAGAAGAGAATGTGAAAGTACCTATGGACACTGAGCCTCACAAGCCTGGTATGAGACGGGCAAGTTCTAAGTCAGTTTTTTCATATTCCAAAAAGACACCAATGTGAAAGAAAATGAAATGGAAGCCATCCAGATTGGAAAAAAAGTAAAACTATCTCCATTTGAAGATTATATACCTTGTATATAGGAAATCTTAAAGAATCAACTAAGAAACTATTAGAACTAATATAGAAGTTCAGCAGGGTTGCAGGTTACAAAATCAATACACAGAAATCTATTGTATTTTTATATACTTGCAATGAACAATCTGAAAGTACAATCAAATAATCAATTCCATTTAGAATAGCATCAAAAAGAAGAAAATGTTTAGTAATAATTTTAACAAAGGAAGTGCAAAACTTATAGACCAAAAATGAAAAAAAATTATTGAAAGAAACCAAAGATGTAAATGAATAGAAAGATATCTCATGTTCAATGGATCAGAAAACTTAATATTGCTAAAATTAGAATAATCCACAAAATGTTCTACAGATTCAACACAATCTTTATAAAAATCCCAGATGACTTCTTTGCAGAAATAAACACACTAATCTGAAACATATGGAAATTCAAGGGAGTCAGAATAGCCGAAATAATCTTGAACAAGAGCAATGATATTGGAGGACATACACTTCCCTATTTCAAAACTTACTACAAAGCTATAGTTATCAAGATAGTGTGGTACAGGGATGCCTGGGTGGCTCAGTCGGTTAAGCGTCTGCCTTTGGCTCAGGTTGTGATCCCAGGGTCCTGGGATCGAGTCCCGCATCAGGCTCCCCACTCTGCGGGGAGCCTGCTTCTCTCTCTTTGCCTCTGTCTCTCAAGAATAAATAAATAAAATCTTTAAAAAAAAAAAAAGTGTGGTACAGGCATAAGATAGATGCAGAGGTCAACAGAATTGAGAAACTAAAATAAAGCCTCATTTACGGACAGTGGATTTTTTTTTTTTTTAAGATTTTATTTATTCATGAGAGACAGAGAGAGAGAGAGAGGCAGAGGGAGAAGCAGGCTCCCAAGGAGCAGAGAGCCCGATAAGGGACTCGATCCCAGGACCCTGAGATTATGACCTGAGCTGAAGGCAGACGCTTAACCATCTGAACCACCCAGGCGCCCGGTCAGTGGATTTTTGACAAGGGTGCCAAGAGCTAAAACTATGAAACTTTTAGAAGAATACACAGGAGTAAATATGGGTGACCCAGGATAAGACAATGGTTTCTTTGATCTAACACCAAAAGCACAGGCAACAAGAGAAAAAAAATAGAAAAACTGAATCTCATCAAAGTTAAAAACTTGCGCTTCAAAGGATATGCATCAAGAAAAGTGAAGATCAAAAAAAAAAAAAAGAAAGAAAGAAAGTGAAGATCTACAGATGGCCAGTAATCACATGAAAAGATGCTCGACATCATTAGCCATCAAGGAAATGCAAATTAAAACTACAAGACACCACTTCACAACCATCAGGATGACTACAATCAAAAAAATAATCACAAGACCAGAGAGGCTGTGGAGAAACTGGAACTGTCCTGCCCTACTGGTGGGAAAGTGAAAGACTTCAGCACTTTGGAAAACAGTCTGGCAGTTCCTGGAGTGATTAAACATACAGAGGTACGGTTGTGACCCAGCCGCTCCACTTCTTGGTACATACCCAGAAGAATAAAACACAGGTGTTCAAACAAAAACTTGTTCACAAACATTCATACCAGTATTATTTATGATAGCCAAAAGGTGAAAAGAACCAGTCCTGTCAACTGAAGAATGGATAAATAAAATGGGATATAGCCAGGTAATGGAATATGATTCAGCAGTTAAAGGAAATTAAGTACTTGCTTACACACGTTACAGCATAAATAAATCTTGAAAACATTATGCTAAGTGAAATAAACTAGTCACAAAGGGCCATTTATTGTATGATTACATTTAAATGAAAGGTCCACAATAGGAAAGTTAGACACATTAATAGAATAAATAAATAAAAACTAAAACAAGGGACACCTGGGTGGCTCAGTCAGTTAGGCATCTGCCTTCAGCTCAGGTCATGATCTCAGGGTCCTGGGGTCGAGTCCCACCCACATCAGGCTCCCTGCTTAGCAGGGAGTCTGCTTCTCTCTCTCACTCTGCCCCCGCCCCCCACTCGTGCATGCTCTCTCTCTCTCAAATAAATAAAACCTTTAAAAAAAAAACTAAAACAAAAATAGATTAGTTTTCCTAGCCAACACAGTAAGACCGAAAAAGGAAAGAAAAGGTATACAGATTGGGAAAGAAGAAATATTTGCAAAATATTGGGAAATACTGGGAAAGAGATAATATTTGCAAAAGACATATCTGATAAAGGCTATTATCAAAAATCTATAAAGAACTCTTAACATTTAAAAATAAGAAAACAACCCAGTTAAAAAAATGGACCAAAGATCTTAACAGGCCCCCACCAAAAAAGGCACACAGATGGCAAATACACATGTGAAAGATGTTCCACATCACATGTCATCAGGGATTTGCAAACTAAAGTAACAAAAAGGTACCACTATGCACCTATTATAATGGCCAAAATCTGGAACATAAACAACAACAATGCTAATGAGGACGGGGAGCAACAGGAACTCTCATTCACTGCTGATGGTACAGCACCTGGTGGCTTTCCTGCAAAACTAAACATACTCTTACCATACAATCTAGCAATCAAACTCCTTGATATTTATCTAAGGGAATTTAAAACTTAGGTCCACACAAAAACCTCCACAAGGATGTTTATAGCAACTTTATTCATAACTGCCAAAAGGTAGAAGCAACCAAGATGTCTTTCAGTAGATGAATGGATAAACTGTGGTACAACCAGACAGTAGACTATTATTTGGCGCTAAAAAGAAATGAGCTATTAAGCCATGAAAAGAAGAACCTTAGAAGAACCTTAAATGCATATTACTAAGTGAAAGAATCAGTCTGAAAAAGGCCATATACTGTATGCATCCAACTATGTAACATTCTGGAAAAGGTAAAGCTATGGAGACAGTCAAAAGATCAGTGATTTCCAGGGGTTTGGGAAGGGAGGGATTATAATGTGTCAGTGTAGGTTCATCAGTTATTCTAAATGTCTCACCTGGTGGGAGACATCGATAATGGGGGAGGGCCATGTGTTTGTGGGAGCAGGGAGTATAGGAGAAATCTCTGTACCTCCTCTCAATTTTGCTATAGACCTAAAACTGCTCTAAAAACACAGACAAGGGGTGCCTGGGTGGCTCACTTGGTTAAGCGTCCGACTCTTGATTTCTGCTCAGGTCATGATCTCAGAGTCATGAGATCTAGTCCCCTGTCGGGCTCCGAGCTCAGCACGGCGCCTGCTTGGGATTCTCTCTCCCTCTCCTTCTGCCCCTCCCCTCACTCGTGCTCTCTCTCTCTCTCTCAAATAAATAAATATTACTCAGGCATCAAAAAGAATGAAATCTTGCCATTTGCAATGACGTGTATGGAATGAGAGGTTATCATGCTAAGTGAAATAAGTCAGTCAGAGGAAGACATTATCATATGATTTTACTCATATGTGGAATTTAAGAAACAAAACAGATGAACATAGGGCAAGGGAAGGAAAAATAAGATGAAATCAAAGAGGGAGACAAACCATAGGAGACTCCTAACTATAGGAAACAAAACTGAGGATTTTGGGGGCGGGGGAGGGCATGGGGTAACTGAGTGATGGGCATTAAGGAGGGCACGTGATGGAATGAGCACTGGGTGTTATATGCAACTGATGAAAGTAACCATAAGTATTATTAGTACCTATGAAACTAATAATAAATAAATAAATATCTTTAAAAAATAGAAAAATAAAAACACAGTCTATTAAAAAGAAAAGTAGATTAGAGGTTGCCTAGGGCTGGGAGGGATAGGGAGATTGGAGGTGATGGCTAAGTGGTGCGGGCTTTCTGTGGGGCGTGATGTGTTCTAAAATTGATTGTGGGGATGAATGCACAATTCTGTGTAAATAAAAAAAGCCACTGGGAGGGGGGGAAGAAAAGCCATTGAATTGTACATTTTAAATGTGTGAATTGTATGGTAAGTGGATTATATCTTAATGAAACTGTTAAAGAGAAAAAAAGGACACTTTGACAGTTTCTTACAAAGCTAAACATAGTCTTACCATGTGATCCAGCAATCACACTCCTTGGTATCTACCCAAATGTCTTGAAAACTCATGGCTACACAAAAACCCACATACAGATGTTTATGGCAGCTTTATTCATAATTACCCCAAACTGGAAACCATCAAGATGTCCCTCAATTAAGAGAAGGGAAAAACAAACTGTGGTATACCAGACAGTGGAATATTATTCAGTGATTTTTTAAAATGAGCTGTCAAGTCATGAGGAGACAGGGAGGACCCTTCAATGCATATTGCTAAGTGAAGGAAGCCGGTCTGCAAAGGCCACAGACTGCATGCATCCGACTATATGGCATTCTGGAAAAGACAAAACTATAGACAGTAAAAAGTCGCCAGGGGTTCTGGGGATGAAGGGGAGGGATGAACAGATGGAGCACAGGGAATTTTTAGGGACTGAAACTATTATTTGAAACTGTCATGGTGGATACATTACATGCATTTGGCAAAACCCATACAACATAAAGAGTGAAATGTAAACTATGGACTTTAGTTAATAATAACGTATCAATATTGGTTCTTCAGTTTTATCAAATATACCACACTCAATGCAAGACATTATTTTTTTTTTTTAAGATTTTATTTATTTATTTGACAGAGAGAGATAGTGAGAGCAGGAACACAAGCAGGGGGAGTGAGAGAGGGAGAAGCAGGCTTCCTGCCGAGCAGGGAGCCCGATGTGGGACTCGATCCCAGGACCCTGGGATCATGACCTGAGCCCAAGGCAGACACTTAACGACTGAGCCACCCATAGTGGAAACTGGGGAGGGGAACGGAATATATGGGAACTCTCTGTACTAATAGCCCAACTTTCTGTATATCTAAAACTGCTCTAAACAATAAAATCTATTTTTTAAAAAAGACACCAGTACTCCTGAGGCAATAGTAACTGATGAATTAGTTTGGGAATACTGCTCAAATGATCACCCATTATCATATCATTCCTTTAATTGTTTTTATGGAATGGAGTGTAGTCAGCAGAACAATGCCCACCCCCCAGAAGTCCTCACCCTAATCCCCAGAACCTGTGAATATGTTAGGTGACATAACAAAGGGGAATTAAGGTTGCAGATGGAATTAAGTTCACTGATCAGCTGATCTTACAATAAGGAGGTTGTTCTGGGTTACCCAGACAGGCTAGACATAGTGACAAATGTCCTTAAAAGTGGACAACACAGTGAGAGGAATATGTGACTATAGAAGAAAGGCACAGAGAGATACAATGTTGTTGGCTTTGAAGATGCAAGAAGATGCACAAGCCAAGGAATGTGGGTGGCTTCTAGAAAGAGTAAGGAAATGGACTATTCCCTAGAGCCTACAGAAAGGAATACAGTCCTGTGGATGCCTTGATTTTAGCCCAGCAAGACCGTGTCATACTTATGTCTCACCGAACTGTAAGATATTCAGTTCTTGTTGTGTAAGGGGTAAAGTGTATGGTGATTTATTATAGCAGCAATAAGAAACTAACACACTGAGTAAGGGGCGCCTGGGTGGCTCAGTTGGTTAAGCCACTGCCTTCGGCTCAGGTCATGATCCTGGGGTCCCGGGATCGAGTCCCACATCGGGCTCCCTGCTCGGCAGGGAGTCTGCTTCTCCCTCGGACCCTCCCCCCTCTCATGTGCTCTCTTTCTCATTCTCTCTGTCTCAAATAAATAAATAAAATCTTTAAAAAAAAAAGAAAAAGAAACTAACACACTGAGTAATGTTACATTTCCTGAATCAGCAGGCACAACTAAATTCAAGTAAATGCCATGTGGGAGAACAAAAGGGGAAAGTGATTACATCCGTGTTGACCCCTTGCTGTGTGGAGCTGTCAGAGGCCACCAACAATCACTTTCCACAGTATATCAAGTGATTTGCCAAATCCCCGCAACCTAGCCCTTAAATACTTTGATTCAAAAGTTGGGAGTTTCAAATCTTCTTGATTTCTGTGAAGATTTTAGTGAAAATGCAGAAAACATAAAAGCATGTTGACATCTTATCCGAATACAAACTAGACGTTGCTCATCTATCTACATATTCAGCAGACAATGCAAATGTAAATTCTGGAAAATTCCATTCAGCCTATTAACTTCTTTCCAAAGTAAATGAAAAGATCTCACCCGCTAAATGGCCTGCACATCATGTATACCACATTCCAAAAAGCAGTGTGATTGGCTCACCTGTGATGTTGGGTCTTTTTTTTTTTTTTTTTTGAGAGAGAGAGAGAGAAAGAGCAGGGGGGTCGGCAGAAGGAGAGGGAAAGAGCAAATCTTTTTTTTTTTTTTTTTTTTTTAAGATTTTATTTACTTGTCAGAGAGACAGACAGAACACAAGCAGGGGGAGAGGCAGGCAGAGGGAGAAGCAGGCTCCCTGCCGAGCAAGGAGCCTGATGTGGGACTCAATCCCAGGACACTGGGATCGTGACCTGAGCTGAAGGCAGCGGCTTAACCGACTGAGCCACCCAGGCATCCCGGAAAGAGCAAATCTTAAGCAGACTCCCCACTGAGCACGGAGCCTGACTCAGGGCTCAATCCCAAAACCTGAGCCAAAACCAAGAGTCGGATGCTTACCCAACTGAGCCACCCAGGAGGCGCCTCTGAGGTCTCTCTTGATACAAGTTTTTAGTTGCCTTTCCCCTTCCTCAAAAAGTGTAGAAGCACTTTATAAAAATGATGACATTGTAGAAATGGAAGAAGGTGTCCTCCAAGATGGCTGTTATCATTGTCGCCTCTATAGACGATACTTAAAATGTGGGCCTGCCATAAAATCATACATTTAAAGTGTGGCACAAGAAGAATATCCTCTGGGGCGCCTGGGTGGCTCAGATGGTTGGGCGTCTCCCTTCAGCTGGGGTCATGATCCCAGGGTCCTGGGTGTGACAGTCTGGGTTGGCTCTCTAACAAGTTGGTCATGGTAGGCCGAGTCTTGCCCGCAGTCCCATGCACCTGGAAACTCCCAGACTAGAGAATGACATGGCTTTAATAAAGGTCAATGGGGGAGGGGCAAGGTGGGACCCCCCACACACACACACTTCTCTTGTGCTCACACCTGAAGGACAGACCTCGGGATAGTTCTTCTGTGCCACTGGCATGGGAATTCGAGGATGTAGTGACACAGAGAGGGAAGACCCACCTGGGAGCTCAAGGTGGTCTCTGCTGCTTGCCAGTGAGCTTGACGCCTTTCCCCCCGAAGGCCCCCCGTTGGCTCCATCACTCACTGGTCTGGGCAGGCCCTTGCTCCACAAAGCTCAAATATCAATGGTCGCAGATATAGAAATCCCTGGCAACTCCCCACCTGAGCAGACATAAGGACCTGCTTCCTGAGTTCCCAGCCAGCTCCCTACACTGAGTATGGCCTGGCGTGGGGGCTGGGGGGAGGGGCCTCAGACTGAGCCAGCCCAGGAATTTAGCTTGACAGTAACAGTTCTATGAACACCAATTCTCACAAACGTGAGAGAGATTGTAAGTTACTCAAAGCTTGGCCACTTTTACCTTTGAAGCAGACAGGACCCATTTCTTGTTGTTGCTAATGGCAACGTCTGTCACCCAGTCACTGTGGCCCTGAAGAAAAATAGAATTTTAACAAGCACCTAGAGGAAAAACCTTGGTAAGCACAACAAAAACAAAAGCACAAAGTCAGGACCCCAGTGATGCATGCATTTAAGAGTAACTAATTGTGCTTCCCTAACGTCACCGATGACATTTGACACGAAGTGTAAAGGTGGATGATGCACGTGTACATTATGGCACTGTGCTCTTTAAGATAGTACTCTAGTTGGGGCGCCTGGGTGGCTCAGTTGGTTAAGCGACTGCCTTCGGCTCAGGGCATGATCCTGGAGTCCCGGGATCGAGTCCCGGGATCGAGTCCCGCATCGGGCTACCTGCTCGGCAGGGAGTCTGCTTCTCCCTCTGACCCTCCTCCCTCTCATGCTCTCTGTCTCTCATTCTCTCTCTCTCAAATAAATAAATAAAATCTTTAAAAATAAATAATAAATAAATAAAATAAAATAGTACTCTAGTTTTTTAGCAGGATGGAAAAAGAGTGACTATATTCCCAGCTGGTCTCAGAGCACCTCTTGCAGGTTTTCGTTTGCATTCTCTGTTCTGGGAACTAACCACTCCGAGCTCCTCCTGGTAAGGGGGCTTTTGCTTCAAATCACTGCAGACTTATCCCCAGTGGCCTAAGCAAATGGGGGGTTATTTTCCTTGGGTAAAAAGGAGCTCAGAGGAGAGAGACACTTAATGACGTCAGGGCTCTGCGTCAGCATCTTGACCATTCTTTGGCCTTCCCCTTTTGGAAAGAGGCAAAGGCAAGCCAGTGTGGTATGCTAGGAGGAAGGGGAGCAGGAGAGAAGTCAAGTGCCATGCATAACAAAGGAGAGGAGCTTGAGGGGGAAAATAGAGAGAGGACAAAGGGACTTTTAAACACAGGGAGGTTGAACACTCAGTTGTAAGCTGTTTATTTGCTGTGATGTAACCTCCCTTGGCCTCCCCCAAAACCCTTGCGAAGAGCCCTCCAGGTAGCCCAGCCCCCGGAGCCTGAATGTTGTGGTGATCAAGGGGTGGGGGGGCAAGTCTACGCTCGGGCCACAGGGAACAGAGGGACCAAGAGTCGGGGATGCAAGCATTCACCGCCAAACCGTGAGATCACAGGACCAGGGAGGCTGCAGAAATCTTGGGGAAGGGGGCACTTGGTTCAGAGGCGCTGCTGTAGCCAGTCCTGAGACTGCCTTACCTCTCTGGATTCCGGCCAAGTTGGGTCAATCCATCCCCTCATTATAAAGCCACTTTGAATTGAGTCTCCTCTAACTTGTAGGCAAAAGCGCTCAGAAACCCACCATTTTGGGGGCGCCTGGGTGGCTCAGTCGGTTAAGCGCCTGCCTTCAGCTCAGGTCATGATCCCAGGGCCCTGGGATCGAGCCCCCCATCGGGCTCCCTGCTCCACGGGAAGCCTGCTTCTCGCTCTCCCACTCCCCCTGCTTGTGTTCCTGCTCTCACTATCTCTCTCTCTGTCAAATAAATAAATAAAATCTTTAAAAGAAAAAAAAAAAGAACCCCACCATTTTGGAGCCTATAGCTTTCTGTGTATGCCTCATTGTGGTATTCATCTTTCTGTAGAGTAATTTCTGCTGTTCTTAGACACTTTTCCACCTCTGAGTTTTTGCATTTGCTGTTTCCTCTGCGTAGAATGCCCTTCCCCCAGATCCTCATTCACCCAGGCTTTCCTTGCCTTCAAGTTCTCAGCTCAGATGCCACCTTCTCCAACAAGCCCTCCCTGCCCACCCACCGTGGATTAGTCCTTGGGGTCTATTTCTTTCACATCACCCTGTTCTGGTTTCTGTTTCACTCATCACAGTCGATGATTTGCTTGTTGGTTTCTTGTCTGTTCTTCTCCACAGAGGTGTCGGCTCCAGTGAGGACATCTAGGTCTGTCTCACCCACTGCTGTATCCCCAGCACCAGCACCCAGCATTGACCCTCTATCTGATGCTGACATCGGTACCTTCAGGGAGAGCTTCCGGTAGCCTTCTCCTACATCCCAGATAGCCACAGTCCTGTCGAACCCTCCAGACACGAGAAAAGAGGCTACAACACAAAATGATAAAGTTTCAGGGGGTGGGGGGTCATCTTTCCCTGCCAACTGCTTCCTCCTTCAGCAAGGTCAAAGCGGGCTGAGGTTACACTTGTGAGGTGCTACCATGGTTCACTCCAAGGATCCTCAAACCCCTTCCTGGGGTGGCTCCATGACCCGCAGCCAGTTACAGTCCATTCTCATTATTCATGGCAGTTACGTTCTGTAAAGCCATCACAGACCCTGAATTAGTCAATGGTGAACAATTCCTCCTAGGGGATATATAGGGTTAGGTTCCTAGGAGCCTCTCTGGTCGTAACACTTCATTAACCGATCAGTACGTAACCTTGTTTTAGGTCTGTTTCTGCTGAAACACACTTTAGTTGATACATAGTGTTTATTCATTAACATTACATTCATGGCCATCAGTGCTAGAGCTCATGCCTGAACCAAGCTTATCCAACACCCGTGTTTTCCCTGTAAGGCGAGTCACCGACTTCTCGCACTGAGGAACACTGGACAGCAAGCACTTCAGCCCTGTGCTTGGGGCCCTTTAAACAGCAAAATCACCAACCAAAACCACAACATGCAAAAATAACTGGGCACTAAAGGGACTGCGAAATGGACACTTGCCAATAAGAGAGCTGAAACAAGAAGGCAGAGGGTCGCCTTGTTCAAATGCAGCTGGGAGTGTGTGCATAGGCTAACTCACAGTCTTCACTGCCCTGCGCATGTCCCCACCCCGTGCCTCATGACAAAAATGCCACAAGTATTGATTTTAGGGTTACGAATAAATTTTACCCAACAAATGTGGAATGTGTGAATAGTGATGATTGACTGTAGGCAACTCTGAACCCCAAAAATACAAGGACAGAAACCAGTGGGATGACTCATAATGGGCTTTAACTCACAGAGACTGCTTGTGAAGAGGAAGAGTTGTTCAAAAACACCCTAGCATTTCGCAAGCCAGGCTCTGATTGCTTCTGTACTAGCTGGGGGCCCCTGAACCACACACAGAGCGAACCCCACTTCCCACGAGAATGGAGAGTAAAGCCATTGGCTCCTGGGTGTCAGGAGGCGTCACTTCCCTCACTGCGGCTAGTGCCCTGAGGCCGCTTCCTGTCATCACCCCTGCTGGCATCCGTGACCCTTCATTTGTCAACAACACCCCAATTTCCCATGGGGAAACACCCCATACAATACTCTCATTCCTTCTGGCTGGAGGGTACTGACTCCGACCTCTAGCTCAGGGAGGTGGGTGAGTCACTCAAACCTAGCCAATCAGAGCCTTTCATCCCCCGCTAAAGTGTTGGTTCAGAGATGGGGATGTGTCCTAAGCTGAGCCAATGAAAGACTTTCCTGGGACTTGCGCTGGTACCATCTAAAAGAAGGGTCTCTCTTTCTCTAGGACTGGCTCCCCGAAAGCACAGTCTGAGTGTCTGGACCCAGCCACACCCGAAGTGAGATCAGCTCTTGGACTTCCCCATTACAGGGGTTAATATATATCTTTGGCTGCTAAGCCACATTAAGCTGAGTCTCCACTACTTGCAAACTAATGCCTATGAATGTCCCTCTTGGCTTTTGTGTTCTCATAGAAAATAAATCCACCCTCACCATTGGCATCATGAGAAATTGCCTCTCTATACTACGGCAAGTCCGTGGGAATAGAACACGAGGAGATCTGCCCCAGCACTCCCATAGGTGTGAAGTCTTTCTATATGTTAATTACTCACTGTCTCTGGAAAAGTGGCAGGAGCTCACAGAACCTTCATGGCCCTTCATCAGAGTCACACAGGCTCCACAGTTCCGAAACTCGCCTGTATGGACGTTCCATATTTTTAAGGTTTTATCCCAAGAGCTTGTACACAGGAAATGGCCACTGAAGGTAAAACAGCAGTTTGAAATTGCACTGGAATGTGCCCTGAAACACAGATGGAAGGGTGTGCACATTAGCATTTCATGCCTGGAGGATCTGAGGACACAGCTAAGATGAGGGGCCCTGGAGCTGATCCCCTGTGACTTAATGGACATCAGTCCTCTGATCACTGCCTACCATGGTCCAGATCTTTTTTTTTTTTTTCCCCAAATTTTTATTTAAATTCTAGTTAGTTAACATATAGTGTAATATTGGTTTCAGGAGTAGAATCTAGTGATTCATCACTTACATACAACACCCAGTGCTCAACACAACAAGTGCCCTCCTTAATGCCCATACCCATTTAGCCCATCCCCCACCCACCTTCCTCCATCAACCTTCAGTTTGTTAAGAGTCTCTTATGGTTTGCTTCCCTCTTTCTCTCTCTTTTCCCCCTCTTCCCCTATGTTCATCTGTTTTGCTTCCTAAATTCCACATATGAGTGAAATCATATGGTATTTGTCTTTCTCTGACTGACTTATTTCACTTAGCATAATACACTCTAGCTCTAGCCATGTCATTGCAAATGGCAAGATTTCGTTCTTTTTGATGGCTGCGTAAGATTCCATTGTATATATATTACCATGATCCAGATCTTAATTGCTCTGACTATGCCACACTATTCCAGGATTTCTCAACCATGGCAATACGGACATTCTGTGCTATCCACAATTCTTTGGGTAGGGGGTTGTCCCATACATTGTAAGATGTTGAACAGCATCCCTGGGCTCTATCCACTAGATGCCAGTAGCCCTACATCCAGCTGTGACAATTAAAAATGTCTCCAGACATTGGCAAATTGTCCACTGGGGGACAAAATTGCCCCTGGTTGAGAACGACTGCACTATTTAGAGCTACCTGAGACTTGAGGAAAAAGAGCATCAGAAAATCTGTTAGTGGTGGTCAATAGAATAACAGCCCTTCAGGTCTCGTACTGGATCACACTTACAAAGTGGGTTTCTCCTGCTCACCCTCCACCTCCTTTTTCTCTGAGATGTGGAGGCCCCTCGTTCCCCACCCCTCTCTTACCACCTCCTCCCACTTCCCCTCCCAACTACTCCCTCTCTCTTCATCTGTCTTCAGTATCATTAAAGCATATTTGAATGCTGTGCATTTAATTAAGTTTTGAGTTCTCCATTCTCAACTTTTGTATGTCTTTTTTTAAAAAAAGAAAAAAAATCTGTCAGAATTGTGCTGTTTTTGTTTTCTTAGTGATCCTCAAAGTATTTTCCCCATGAACCTCATCTTCTGTTATAAACAGTTTTCAAGAGAAACCTATAAACATAGATGAGCATCTCTGAGTAGGCTGGATCATAAAATCAGTCATTTTACTTGAAGGAAAGCTCGGACAAAACTGTTTTTTCTAGAGCTCAGGCCAGAGTTTTGCACTCTGTTTCAGTTCTTCGTAATGCACAGACTGAGTAAGAGCAAAGGAGAAGAAATGTCAACTTCCCAGGGGTATCCAGGGTAAAACTTTCCAAATCCCTGTGGCCGTTAGGCTAAGAGCCATCCCAGCATATACTGGAGGTGGATAAAAAGCCTTCCTCAGAATCCAAACACTGTTGTTGGGATTTAAACCAGGGCTATCTCTATTTTCCAGGATGGGGCTCTCATTTCAAATAAATTCCACTTCTCATAAAAGATGGTTGTACTTAACAAAAGTGTGGGGAAAGTGCTTATGTTGCCCTTGCTTCTGGACAGGATAGAATCGATGCACTTCTCCTGATTTCTTCTGCTAAGTACAGCTCACAATCCTGGGCATTTATAAAGCAAAGAGGAGACTAGGAAAGATGGAGACAAGAATGCAGACCAGCATGACATCTTGGGACCCAAGAATGGTGTGCTGTGCGTCCCTGGGGTTTTATTTTTCTTCATATCTCCTGTACTGAATACTGGAAAAGCCTATAACCCAGGAAACAATGGGGACCAGAAAAAAGGCCCTCAAGAAAAGCCTGTTCTTTCTAGCCAAATGGATAGCCTAACAAGATGGAAAACTTGTAGACACGACCCAACTTATTCCAGCCAAACATCTCAGGAAAACCTGCATCCCATCCCCACCCTTGTCAGCAAGGGCCAAGAGGGGAGCCTAGACTGCCATGCTTGCCAGGCTCTACTGAGGTGGGCTGCTAGAACAAGATTTTAAGACTGAGAGTTTTCTAATATAATTAATACACACAATGTCCACAACACAAAGGGAAATCACTCATCATACTAAGAGCCAGGAATATCTCATTGTGAATGAGAAGGTAATCAACAGATGCCCAACACTGAGATGACACAGACAGAATTATCTGACAAGGATTTTTAAGCAGCCACCATAAAAATGCTTCTATGGACAATTATAATCATGCTTGAAGCAAGTGAAAAGATAGAAAGCCTCTGCCAAGAAATCGAAGATGTGAAACTTTAGAACTGAAAAATAGAATATCCAAAATTAAAAATTCAATGAAAAGGACAGAGAAAAGAATCAGTGAATATGGAGACAGACAATATAAATTAAACAGCCCAAAAAATAGGCTGGAAGAAAAAAACAGCCTGAGAGACCTGTGGGACTATAACAAAAGATCTAAAATTTGTGCCATCACAGTCCCAGAGGGAAAAGAGGTAGCACTGAAAAAGTAATCAAAGAGATTATATCTGAAATTTTACCAAATTTCACAAAAGACATAAACCTACAGATTCAAAAAGCTAAATGAAACTAAAGTAGGATAAACCCAAAGAAATCTACCCCGACATATCATAATTAAACTTCACATGCAACACCTGATCTCTACGTCATGAGTTCAAGCCCCATGCTGGGGTTAGAGATTACTTAGAAAAAATGAAATTAAATAAATACATAATTAAACTTCTGAAAACTTAAGACAAAGAAAAAAGTCTTGAAAGCAGCAAGAGAGAAATGGCCCTTTACCTACAGGGGAAAAACAATTTGAATGGCAGTGGATTCTTCATCAGAAACCATGAAGATGAGAAGAAAATGACAGGACAGATTTTCAAATAATGAAAGAAAAAAAACAGTCAACTCCGATTTTTATATCTGGCAAAAATATCCTTAAGGAAGGAAGGGGAGGGGCACCTGGGTGGCTGAGTCAGTGAAGCGTCCAACTCTTGATTTCGGCTCAGGTCATAATGTACGTGTTGTGAAATCAAGCCCTGCTTGGGGCTCACACTGGGCATGGAGCCTGCTTGAGATTTCTCCCTCTCCTCTCCCTCTGCCCCTCCCCCCTCCTCTCTCTCCCTCTCTCCCTCTGCTCCTCACTGCCACACTTTCTCTCTCTAAAATAAATATATCTCTTAAAAAATGGTTAAAATGAAAATTCTGCATTATATATAGTTTTACCGCAATTTAAAAAGTAATGTGATATCCCCCGAACCATGGAACTATTCACTTGAAATGGGTGCATTCTCTGATGTGTGAATTATACCTCAATAAGGCTGTCAAGAGAGAATGAAAGACAGACAGGAAAGAGGGAAAGGGGAAAGTGAATGACCTCGAGACAGGTAAGAGCTATTTTTCACTAGATATTCTTTTGTTCCTTTTTAATTTTGTACTGTGTTGCATGTTTTACATTTTCAAAAAGTAATTTACATACTTTGGAAATAAAAACATGCAAGGCCCCTTGTTCAAAAACTAAGAATTTAAGGACGTTGACAGCAGAGTATGAAATCAAGCGTGGGGCGCTCTGTGTGGGGACCCTGTGTTACTTCAGAGGCTGCATACCCTGAAGCCATCCCTGTCACGTGGCACTGAGAATCTTTGCCTTTATCTTTTCTTGCTAAAAGCTATATTTCAAAAAAAAAAAAATCATACATTTAGGTTGATCAAAAATACCAATAAACATTTTGCTTATTTCTCTTTCCACCCCCATGGGGAAAACAGAACACAGTGGGCTGTGACACCCACAGCAGGAACTGCGGCCCCCTCCACTGCCCGCACCCCTCCCTGCCCTAGGGAAGTGGCCCACAGCACCCCCGACCCTGAGAGTCCCTCTCGGTAAGAGAGCATGTGCTGAGCACGCACCGTGTGGCCCGTCCTGAGGACCAGCGTGTGCCGTCTTGCTCAGACCTCGCCTCTGCTCAGTTTGCAGGTGAGGAATCTAAGGCCCAAGGTCACACAGGATACGAACCTGCACACTCTTAACTCCGGGCCAGATCCCCAAGGGACAGCCTGTCCCGGGCCAGCAGGGCTCGTCACTGAGCGCAGCAGGCAGGGTGCTGGGGCATATACACTTCTGGAATCCTGACTCCAGGGCCTGCTGGAGAGGTCTGCTCCCCCCAACCCGGTGGGGGCCACCTGCCAGGGAACCCTTGCCCACCCTGGATGATCAGATCTTCCCCTTTTACAGGAGACATTGGAAATTCACATTTGGGAGGGAGATGGGGTAGCTCTGCACAATGTTTTCCAGGGTTGGCTCACATGAAAACAAATGCACCTGAGCCCTGTCCCTGCCCACTAGCCACAGCTAGTGGTGTTCCTCCCACCTGGCTCCCGCCTTCCCTTTCTCCATCTCCAGCCTCCTCCGAGCACCCGTGACCAAGCTAGAGATGCCCCATGTGGACACCCTATCGCAAGCCGATGGTGTGCAGGCCGAATCCAGGAGGGCATGAACGGGGACCTGGGCCCACCTCTCTGCTGCAGGAGGGGGCCCCTCCTCACTTGGTGATGGTGAGCAGCGTGGCCTGGGATGTAATATCCCAGATCTTGATGCTTTTGTCCAGCGAGACGGAAGCCACCTTCTGGCTGTCGGGGTCAAAGCAGCACGCTGTGAGGGACCGGTTGTGATGGTCTGAGGCACAGGGAAAGCAACTCATTACCTGGCATTCCACGGGCCCCCCCCAGGCAGCGACCATGTTACGGAAACACAATACCAGTTTCACAAGGGACTCTACACTTGCACAAACATTTCCTGGGTGCCGACCATGTGCCAGGCTTAGAACGAGAGGCACGGCCGAATGGCTCCCTGTCCCCACAGAGCTCCCAGTCTGATGGGGAGATGCCCTTGTGCAAGCAACAGCCCATAGCACGTTGGGGGCCACGAGAGGGGTGTGCGGTAGGTCACAGCTCCTGGCCCAGCCCTGAGAGGTTGAGGAGGGACCTTAAAAGTTAGCAGGGGAACCAGAATAGGAAGAGGGCTCCCAGCAGAAGGAGTAGCAGGTGCAAAGGCCTGAAGGTGGGACAGAGCGTGGAGAAGCATGGTGTGCAGCTAGAAGCTGGAGGCTGAGGACAGGTAGAAGATGAGGGGATACAGAAAAGGGAGGTGCAGCCGGGGGGCAGCGCCCATGTCCCAGGTCCATGCTCAGAGACAGAAACACAAGGTACACGTGGGAAGTAGGCATGGAGTGTGAGAACACACACACGCACGTGCACACTCACTGAGGTCAGGAAGGCCACCCAGCAACGTACTGTTAATAATAGACACCCCAGCGAAGAAGACAGGACACATAGAGCAGCCTTTCACTTTTTAACTTTACGTACTTACCACATTTTTTACGATGATTACATGTTTTTTTAATGTTTTATTTTGAGATAACCGTCAAGTCGCATGCAGTTGTAAGGAGTAAGACAGAGAGATCCTGTATGCCTGTCACCCAGTTTCCCCCAAAAGAAACAGCTTTTATACAACAGTATAATTGTTATACCGTGTCACAACCAGGAAATTGACATCTGATGCTTATTATCTTTACAGATAAAAACGTTATGAAGGCCAAGCTTCCACTCGATAAAAGTTTGGGCTTTACCTGTCCACGTGATGCGGGACCAGAACACTGTTTCATTTATGACAAGCACGGGGCTAATCCTGTGATTAGCCTTCACCGATGAGAATCGGGCAAGGTCTTAGCCGCTGGTGTTTTATCAGTGAGTGTCCCGTGGCTAATGATGTGGCTCATTATAGCCTCACCAGATAAGGCCATCAAAAGTCACTGTCGGTCAAGTGACAAGTGGCTGTTACCATGGCAGACAGAACAGAGCAGGGAGCCCCTGCAAACTCACTTTTGATGTGTGACACGGTGGTGGCATTTTCTGCGTCTGTTATACAGATTGCGCGGTCCACATCCAAGGCCGAGACCACGTATTTGCCATCAGGAGAAACCTTACAGGAGGCTATGAAGGTTTCGTGATTGATCTTCCACTGAATAGGGCAACAATCAAAAGGTGGTTTTCTCTCTAGCCCCGTGGTCCAGTAGAACTTTCTGTGATGACAGAAATGTTCCATCTATGCACCATCCAATACATTAATTAGTCTCTGGGCCACAAGGGGCCATTGAGAATTTGCAATGGCTAGTGCAAATAAGGAACTGAATTTTAAATTGGGGTTTGTTTAATTAATTAATGTAATTAATGAATCTGTGTGCAGGACAGATGGACAAGGATAGGTAGAGCATCTAGTGGAACCAGTCACAAGGTTCTCGTAATGGCCAACTTTCCTCCTACTCAGTTGGGTAAATGAGTGTTTATTAGGTGTCTGCACTGGGCCTCGCACCATGGACAAGACACCCCAGCCCAGCCCCTCAGGCCGCCCACACTCTCCCGGGAGAGACGGGCACCAAACCTCAAGAAGGGGACAATGAGCGCTCAACATTCTAGGAAAGGACGGTCTCTCTGTACCTTACAAATTATGGTATTGCCACTATGACAGTTTTAAAATATACCCACAAATTCTTCACCAGTCCTTCCAAAAGGTAGAGCCTAATTCCCCACCCCTTGAGCATGGGCTGGACTTGGTGACTCACTTCTAACGAATAGAATATGGCAGAAGTGACAGTGTGTGACCAGGTCATAAAAGAAACCGTGGCTTCCTCCTTGCTCTCTCTTGGATCACTTATTCTGGGGGAACAAATTGCCACCTCCTGAGGACACTCAAGCAGCCCTGTGGCGGAGAGCAACTGAAGGCTCCTGACCAAAGCCATCTGAGTGCGCCATCTTGGAAGGGGAGTCTTCAGCCCCAGTTGAACCTTCAGATGACTGTAGGGGGGGACATCTGAATGGTGACCTCATAAGGGGACATCTGAATGGTGACCTCATTAGAAACCTGAACCAGAACCCACCCAGCTAAGCTGCTCCTAGATTTCTGTCAGAAAGTGGTAGATAATAAGCGTTTGTTGTTTCAAACTGTTAAGTTTCAGGCTAATTTGCCCAACAATGGTGGATAACTAATTCAGCTCTCTAGTTGGCAAGTGGCGTGGATCACTGGGGCAACAAAAATAAATCAAAGCACTAAAAAGATGTTTAAAGAAGAAAAAGAAAAGCATCTCAAATAGAAAAACTGGCTGGAGACAAGAGCAGGAAATGTATAAGAGAAGAAACAAACATTTGGAATAAATGCTCAAAGTCAGGAGCAATCAGTGCTAATCTCATTTTTCCACCAACCAAAGTGGGCTAAAATTTTTTAAAAATCATGCTATCTGGCCGGTGAGATAGTGAGCACCCTTCCAGTGCATCGGAGAGGAGTTGGCACGGATGTCCGGAGGATAATTTTTAAAAGGCCATGTTTCTATAACAAATTAGCAATAAAATCCAGTTCTACTTATAGCAATAAAATCCAGCTCTATTTCCTTAAAAATATTGCATCGTGTGTATAAAAATTTACACACAAAATTTCCTCATCATAGCATCACTTATGATAGAGAAAAGTAAAAACAGCCCTAATGTCCTACCGGGGAATAGTGCAATACAGCCTGACTTATCCATCCCATGGAATCCATGCGTCCATGAGAAAGGATGCCGTCGATGTGTACTTACCCACTATTTATTTTTGAGTGAAAAAAAAAAAGTCAAGATCCAGAAAGTATGCACAGAATGATGCTACGTTGTTAACAGAACATACTCACCTGTGTTCATCTGGAAATATGCGCAGACATAGGAAAAGAGATGCCAACATATTAACTATAACCTCTGGGGTGTTTATGGTGACTATAAATTGATCTTTGCACTAAGAAGAAAAGAGGAGCAAAGGGGAGGTGATGAGGAGCTCCCTGGGGAGCCCCCCTTGGCAGGGCCGGGGCTGCCAGGGCATGGGACAGAGAGGGTCTCAGGCTGGTTCGGATGGATGGATGGTGGCCCCTCCAAGCTTGGGAGAAGACCGTCCCCAGAACACTCATGCTTTCACCACGTGGTCTTTGTCTCATGGCCTCAGCTCTACTTCCTACCCCATCAAATCCCAACACCCCCACAGGGGAGAGTCTCTTTGCCTGTGCATTTCCCTCAGCCTGGAATGCCATGCCCCTTTCTCCCCCACTCCCCCTGCTTGTGTATCCAAACCCTTCCCATCCTTCCAGCAAAAGCCTCCTCTGCCTGCCTCAAGAAGTTTCCTTCCCTGATGCATCCCCCTCCAGCACCTGGTGTCCCTGAGAAAATTCTCCTTTTCTGAAAGACTGGTTTCCCTTCCCACCCCAGGCCCCGCCTGAGGCCCCCCTCTCCCCGTCCCCACCAGGCCCAGGCATGAGCCTGTGTTGCCATGCACTGGGCGGGCCACACTCACCAGCAGCTTGCCTGTCTCAAGATCCCAAGCCCTCACCGCTTTGTCATAGGACGCTGTGATAATTCTGCCAAGAAAATGACCCAGACCGTTATGGCTATGGGTTCTATGGAAAAAAAAAAAAAAAACATAGAAAATTCTTCATAGAAAATGTCTATAACTTAGGACCAAGACTGCAAAGTAATCCCCGAATCTTCCTCAAGATGCTCCCTGAGTCCCCTCCATGAGCCTCCCAGAAACAGATGGAACCTCATGCCGGGTACCACTGCGTGCTCTTCCTGAGTTCCCTCAGCCACCCAGATACATTCTTCCACCTTCAGGGCATTAAAGGGACTGTTTCTTCTCTTCTGCGAATGAGTCTTCTTCTGAGGGGCTACCTACCACTCACGCGGACCAACCCTTTCCTTCTCTGCTCACGCGGCTGTCTTTTTACAGGAACACTTTGACAGCTTACTTTGTTCTGAAATGTTTTCTTGTACATTTAGTAAAATAATATAAATGTACCTTTATCCGTACTAATATACATGTACCTCTCTCCTCTGCATGTTTCTGTGGCAATCCGTGTCCCCCATGGAGGATAAATTCCCATGCGAGTTTTTATGAGCTTTGTAGCTGCTGCTCGGGGCACAAGCAAATCTGTTTTAAAGCAAAGCCTCTTGGGACGCCTGGGTGGCTCAGTCAGTTAAGTGTCCGCCTTCGGCTCGGGTCATGGTCCCAGGGTCCTGGGATCAAGCCCCACATCCGGCTCCCTGCTCCGTGGGAAGCCTGCTTCTCCCTCGCCCACTCCCCCTGCTTGTGTTCGCTCTCTCACTGTCTCTCTCTCTCCCTATCAAATAAAAAAATAAAATCCTAAAAAAAAAGAAAAGAAAAGAAAGTTGTCCTTGGGACACCAAATAAATAAAACCTTAAGAAAAAAAAAAAAAAAGCAAAGCCCCTTGTGTTTTAAAGGCCTATCTCATGTCCTGGGCCTCCGTTTCCCCCTGTGAGATGCCACCTGGGCCTCAGTCGCTGTGGCTGCTTGCAGCTTCAGCAGGGCCACGGGTGTGACCACGGAAAAGCATCTCCGTGAAGGAAAGGCAGACTGGCTTTGTCTGAGCCACCATACGTGCGGTCTTGTCAGCGCTTTACATTTTCCAAGAGTTGCCACATCCCCTTGACTCTCCCAGCAAAACGTGGGAACCGTGGGGACAGAGGCGGGAGAAGAGAAACGTCCCTGGCGTGCTGCTCGCTGGCCTGCCCCCTCGCTCCTCCAACCCAGCGCCGGACAAGGGAAAGGTCACCTTCTGCCATCAGCCGTCACGCTGCACTCTGAAACAGGAGCTTTGGGCCTCTGCTCAAAATCCCGAATGACTGAGCCATCCACAGCATCCTCAAATCAACAGGAGAGAGAGGGAGAGAGCGAGGTCACCCAGCCGTGGGCAGAAGTCGTGCGCTGAGCTCGTCCACGGCAGCAAAGTGTGACGACCCCTGGTCCCACGCCGCCCCTCGCCCCGCTGCCTCTCCCCAGAGCAGCGAGGGCGCCCTGCCCCCCACGACCTCCCTGGAGAACGCCCCCTCCCCTGCACAGGCGCCCCCAGGGGGACAGGGCCACGGACAATTTCCTCCATCTCTACCGGCCGAAGGGGCTTGGCAGAATCTCACAAGACCTTTCAAGAACTTGTTGAAAGAGTTCACGCCCTTTGACCCAGCAGTGCGACTCCGAGGGGTCCCTCCTAACAGGGCCACCCTTGCCCACCCCAGTCCAAGGCTTGTGCGGAGAAAGGTCCATCAGGTGTTAGAGGGGATGGCGGGCACAGTGGCATGAGTCACCTCAGGGGAGCGGCTAAAACAGACCCCAGCAGGCCAAACGTGGGGCGCCGGCCCCTGTTAGCACGCGAGCGGCTGATGACTGAAGACGACAATGAGATCGAAGCCCGGCAATAGCTGGAGACCATGAAGAGAAGAAAACAGGGTGCCAAAGAGAAAATGCCCGTTGTGGCAGAGGTGAAATATTCTCAGTTAGAAATGTGCCCAGAGCTTTTCAGGATAAGCTGCGGTGGAAAGTCCCCTTGAAAAACAGGTTACTGGTAAGACAGTGAATTCCGAGAAAGGGCTTGGGTTGCGGGGTGAAAATGTGGCACGGGGGCTTCTGGCCTGCCCGGGGCAGGCCTGGGACAGTACTTCCGGATGCGCAGAGCCCATTTTGTATTAAGAGCCCAAGTCGAGGGGCACCTGGGTGGCTCCGTCGGTTAAGCGTCTGCCTTCGGCTCAGGTCATGATCCCAGGGTCCTGGGATCGAGCCCCGCATCGGGCTCCCTGCTCGGCGGGAAGCCTGCTTCTCCCTCGGCCTGCCACTTCCCCTGCTTGTGCTAGCTCTCACTCTCTCTCTCTGACAAATAACTAAAATCTTAAAAAAGAAAGAAAGAAAGAAAGAGCCCAAGTTGTGTTGGGGGGCAAAGAACCCTCTGTCAGGGGTCCCCAAGACTACCCCCAGGCTCGGTGATTCTCCAGGATCCCCACAGGACCCTGCACATAGTCAGACTCATAGCTAAGATTTATTACAGCAAAGGACACAAAGCAAAATCAACAAAGGGGAAGGAACCTGGGGTGGAGTCCAGAGGAGACGAGGCATAAGCTTCCAAGAATCTCTCCACTGGGTCACAAGGACATGCCTAATTCCTCCAGCAACCAGTTGTGATAACACATGTGATGTGTCATCTATCGGGGAGATGTGCCTGAGCCTTGGGGCCCAGGGTTTTTGGGGGGATTCCCTAGCACACACCAAAATCCAGACTCCCAGAAGGAAAGCAGGTGCTCAGCATGAACCACATGGCTTACGCCAACAGTCTGGGTACACTGAGCCCTCCTTATCACTTAGCGGATTGCAGGACACCATGAGCCAGTCCAGCTCCCAGATGCCTGCCAAGGCCAGCCTCCACGGCAGTCTCACACCTGCTGTATGAACCCTTTTCTACACAAACCCAGGCCCTCAACCCCCACTCCGTTAGGACTTGAAACAGTGGGGTCATGTTGGGGGAACCCAGCAGGCCCTAATCAGAGGCAGGAAGAGACAGCGGGAATCCAAGGAAGAACTCACCAGGACAGAACACATCCAAGCTGCAAGCCTGGATTCACAAGTCTACTGGTTGGGAGAAAAGAACAGGTCCCCTGCCTGCGATCCAGCCTCCCTGGCTGGGGCGTGGCTCTAGCACAAACATGGAACTAAGAAAACGATCACTGTGGGGCCTGGGACTGCAGTCTGTGCAGCCCACCCCCCGGGCAGGCTAAGGTCAGCCCTGGAATGGACCCTCAGCAGGGGGTCCATGTGCAGCTTCAGCACTCAATAGTGACACCTGCTGGCCAGGTAGAGGAACAGCACCCGTAGACAGAACCCTTTTGGAACAGGTGCACTGCTTGTGAAGAGAATCCTTCCACAAGAAGCAGATGGCAAACAAGCCAGATTTTGTTAGTGAAATCCAAAAGCAGTGGAAATGTCTCTGTTTTGTACTGACTGTTTCTTGAAATAAATAAGCGAAAGACAGCTTCCTTTTCACCTGGCATCTGGAGGCAGGAACCCCTCTGTGGACTCAGATAACTGACTCAGATAATTCAAGGCGGGGGTACTGGTCATACTTTTAAGTGAAGGGGAGGAAAAGAGGGCCTCCACTAAATAGTTGGGAAAATAGGGAAATGTGACAATACCCACACCCCAAGTTTATCATGGTTATATAAACAGTGTTTCTTTATGGTCTCAATTTAGTAAACATGGGTATATGTGTGTGAACAAGAAAAAAATAAACTTATATCCCAACATTTTTTTTAAAGAGACACAACGAGAGAGGGAACACAAGCAGGGGGGAGTGGGAGAGGGAGAAGCAGGCTTCCTGCTGAGCAGAGAGCACAATGCGGGGCTCCATCCCGGGACTCTGGGATCATGACCTGAGTCGAAGGCAGATGCTTAACGACTGAGCCACCCAGGTGCCCATCCAACATTTTCACAGCAGTTAACTCCAGGGTTGTGAAGTGATGGCTCTTGTTTCTTCTCTGTGCTGTGAGGAAAACCACCAAAGTTGCTATTTCTTAATGACTGGAAAGAGGCATGCCAATATATTAGAGGGATATTGGGTACAGGATTAAGAATGATTTTTCCCCAGAGTCCCTGGGCGGCTCAGTCGGTTAAGCATCTGACCCTTGGTTTCAGCTCAGGTCATGCTCTCACAGTTGTGAGATCGAGGCCCACTTCGGGCTCTGCACCCAGCACAGAGTCTGCTTGAGATTCTCTCTCTCCCTCTGCCCCTCCATCTCCCCTCTCTCTCTCAATCTCTCAAAAAAAAAAAGATTTTTCCCCAACTTCTTCATATATGTATGGACTTTGCAAATTATTCACAATGGTCCACAGTGAGGGTAAAGGGAGCTTCCAAAAGATTAAATCAGATGCTTGGGTTCTGGGTGGGGCCCAAGAGGGGGGATAGGAGATGCAAGGTGACAGGAGTGGGGAGAGGAGGAAGAAGCAAGGGGACATTTTGGCCAAGATACCATGACAGGAGAAGTCAGTGTGCCGGGCAATGGCTGAGTCATCTACCCAGGGAGCGCTCAGGAATGGCAGCTACACTGGGGCAGGGAGAGCCAGGGGAGAAGCCAGCCAAAGGGAAAGGTGGGGAAAAGAGAACCAGGAGGAAAGAGGACTTCTTGGAGGAGGTGTCAATGGGGCCGGCCAAGGCAGACAACTGGTGACTCTGGCAAGGGCTGGGGGTGGGGAGTGGCGTGGGAGGGACCTGGAGAAATTGGCAGAAGCAGGCAAGGCCATGAGCGAGGCTGGTATCGGGACACTTGGACAGGCGGAAGTGACTGCATCCTGGAAACAGTGGTGTGGACTAGGCAGCCAGACCACTGTGGAGAACCAGGGACATCTCAGTGGATGGTCTCTAATCTTGGGACAAGATAAAACAGGTGGGGGGCACCTGGGTGGCTCAGTTGGTTAAGCGACTGCCTTCGGCTCAGGTCATGATCCTGGAGTCCCAGGATCGAGTCCCGCATCGGGCTCCCTGCTCGGCAGGGAGTCTGCTTCTCCCTCTGACCCTCCCCCCTCTCATGCTCTCTCTATCTCATTCTCTCTCAAATGAATAAATAAAATCTTAAAAAAAAAAAAAAAGATAAAACAGGTGGATTTCCCCTTTTAGAGACAAGAGCCTTTGGCCCAAACAGACAGAAACCCCTGTGAGTCCCTCCACTGGTTCAAAAGGTGAGAAGAATGAGGGGAGGATCTGAGCTGGCCAAGCAGGATGCACACTTGGAAAGCTGCCCCCCCTCCCCCTCCCCCTCCTTCCCTGGGTGATGACAACCCGTAGAGCCCCCTCGCCCCTGGCTCCTCAGTCTCCCCAGAGGGCTGGGAAAGGGTTTAAGGCTCTCAGAAGAACCAGAAGTTCTCCCAGCAGGAGCTCATGAGCCACAGCAGAGGTGGGGAACGGATGGCTGTTGGGCATCCAGGCAGGCCCCAGGGTAGCCCCAGTATGCAGCTGGACCTGGAGAGTTTCAGGGAGGCCCAGGAGGTCATGTGATCACCCAAGGTCACACAGCTGAACCACTTGGACCATCCCCAAACCCTCCTGCCTAGTCTGCCAGGCCTTGGTACCCACTGATGACACAGAAGATGACCTTGTGGTCATCTGGAGGGTGAGGAGCTATCCTTCACCTGATTACCCAAACCGGAACCCAGGAACCAGCCCAGATTCCCTTCTATCCCCTCCTGTCCCTGAAGCCAGAGGAGATGACAAAACTCAGAATGGACTGTTGTCCCCCATGGGCCCAGCCCCAGCCACACAGTCATCTGTGGCCTGGGCCCTGATGGCCATTGACATCCCCCATCCCCACTCCCTCATCACCCGCTCCTGAATGACCAGCAATGCCCCCAAATTGGCCTTCCAGCATCTGCTGGCTATGCCCAGAGGCTTTGGAAGAGTTCTCAGTGGCCACGTCTCTGCAACCGCATCTGACCATCACACACCCCTGTTCCTTGCGCCCCTGCTTCCTGCACCTTGGGACACTGAGCCATGCTCAAGCCTGCCCCTCCAAACCACCCCTCATGGACAGGTCCCAGGCCTGGCCACTTTCCTATCCTCTGTGACCACCTAGGCCTGGTCATACCATCCCTGTGGATGGAAGTGAAGTTTCCAAATGAGAAGGAGACCCAAAGAGAGGCCACAGCTCAGAGATCCCAGGTAAGCCCTAGGTACAGCGGGAACTGTCCAACAGTAGGTGGGGGGTTCCGCCGGTTGTCCCCATCCCCTGCTCCTATGTTTTCCAAATCAACAGGCCACCAGCAGCCACACTAAACTCATCTCTCTCCAGGGGCTTGACGCTAGGGTTGAACCGTCACTTGGCTTCTCCTTCTTGCATTTCGCTCAGAAAGTTCTCTCCAAGTCTTTGGGATCCTTGAGCATCTGGGAACTCTCCATAAGATATGGCACAAGCCTATATCCCCTACTGGGACGTTCTCATCTCACCTACACCAGGCCACCTACCCACAGCTTTAGAGTGCAGTCATAAGAGCCACTGAGGAGCTTCGTGTCATCCACACAGAAGATACAGGAGCTCACAAGGTCCTCATGTCCCCTCAGAACTTTAAACGGGATCTGAAAAAAAAAAGAGAGATTGAATGAGTTCAACAGCTTACAAAATACAAGATTAATATCAAAAAATCAGTTGTGCTTCTATACACTTGCAATGAACAAACTGGAAAAAAAAACTAAAAAAAAAATTCCATTAAAGGCATCAAAATAGGAATACATTTAACAAAAAAAAAAAGTGTAAAACTTACACTCTGAAAATTACAGAACATTGTTGGAAGAAATTTTAGAAAACCCAAAGACATGGGAAAGCAGCCCACATTCATGGATTAGCTATTACCTTACTATTGTTAAGATGAAATTACATTCCAAGATGATCTACAGATTCAGCAGTATCCCCTCAAGATCCTAGCTGACTTCCTTTCCAAAATTGACAAGCTGATCCTAAAACTTACATGGATGCTCAAGGAAAGCAAAATAGCCAAAACAATCCTGAAAAAGAACAAAGGTGGAGTACTCACAATTCCCAATTTCAAAATTTACCACACACAAAAAGTGACCATAGTCAAGACACTGTAGTTACTGGCCGAACGACAGACATAGAGATTGATGGAACAGAATTGAGAATCCAGAAATAAGCCCTCATATTTTAGGTCCCTTGCTTCCTTAACAAGGGTGCCAAGTAATTAAAACTGGAGAGATTAGTCTTTTCAACAGATTGTGCTGAGACAAATAAAATCCACCTGCAAAAGAATGAAGGCAGACCATTGCCTCACGCCACCTACCAAGGTTAACTCAAGATGGATCAAAGATCTCAATGTGAGAACTAAAACCACAAGGCTCTTAGAAGAACACATAGTTGTAAGTCTTCAGGAACTTGAGTTAGGCAGTGGTTCCAACACCACATGCACAGGCGGCGGCAACAGCAACAATGTGAACCTGGGCATTATCAAAATTAAAAACTTGCTCTTCAGAGGGCACCATCAGGAGGGTGAAAAAACAACCCACACAACGGATGAAAACTTTTGGAAATCGTATATCAGATGAGAGATTTTTATCTAGAACACATAAAGAATGCTCAAAACTCAACAATAGAAAAAGGAACAACCCAATTTTTAAATGGGCAAAACATCTGAATAGGCATTTCTCCAAAGAAGACATGTCAGTGAGCTCTAAGCACATGGAAATGTGCTCAACATCATTAGCAATTATGAAAATATAAATCACACATAAATTGAGGGGCACCTGGGTGTCTCAGTCAGTTAAGCGTCTGACTTTGGCTCAGGTCATGATCTTGGAGTCCTGGGATCAATCCCCATGTCAGGCTTTGTGCTTAGTGGGGAGTCTGCTTCTCCCTCTCCTTCTGCCCCTCGCCCCACTCTTGTGCTAGCTCTCTCTCAAATAAATAAAATATTTTTTTTAGAGAAAGACCATATTGAGATACCACCCCATACCCACTAGGATGTCTATAATCAAAAAGTAAGATAATAACAAGTGCCAGCAAGAATGTGGAAGACTCAGAAGTTTCATACATGGCTGGTGGGAATGTAAAATGGTGTGGCCCCTTTGGGATATAGTTCAGTATTTCCTCAAAAATTAAAACATATACAAATACATGATCCAGCAACTTCACTGGATTACCTAACAGAAATGAAAACATACGGCCACACAAAAATTAGAGCATGGGTGCTCATAGCAGTATTATTCAGAATAATCAAACAAACAGAAATAATACAAATATCCATCCACTGGTGAATGAACAGATAAAATGAGGCATATTCACATGATGAAACATGACTAGGCCATACGGCAGGAATGAAGGACTTCTCATTTCTGGGCTGAAATCAACAACTCTTCCCAGATTCATAAGACAAGTGAGGTCACAGAGCAGACTGCTGCCCCCAAAATTGGAGAGACAGGCAAATACAAAGAATCCTAAATTATAGAGCAGAAATCCAGGAGCAGTGACCTCCATGGGAATCAGGCCCAGGATTGGGAAACCTGACCTATAATTGACAAGTTGCTGGAGGTGCAGCGTGGATAATTTTGAGGGTTAAAAATTCCAGGGGGAAAGATACAAAAGTAGGGATCCGAAAGGGTACGTGCACCCCGACGTTTATAGCAGCAATGTCCACAATAGCCAAACTGTGGAAAGAGCCAAGATGTCCATCGACAGATGAATGGATAAAGAAGATGTGGTATATATATACAATGGAGTATTATGCAGCCATCAAAAGGAATGAGATCTTGCCATTTGCAACGACGTGGATGGAACTGGAGGGTATTATGTTGAGTGAAATAAGTCAAACAGAGAAAGACATGTATCATATGACCTCACTGATATGAGGAATTCTTAATTGCAGGAAACAAACTGAGGGTTGCTGGAGTGGGGGGTGGGGTGGGAGGGATGGAGTGGATGGGTGATAGACACTGGGGAGGGTATGTGCTCTGGTAAGTGCTGTGAATTGTGCAAGACTGTTGAATCTCAGATCTGTACCTCTGAAACAAATAATGCAATATATGTTAAGAAAAAAAAAAGAAGAAGAAGAAGAAGGTAGCAGGAGGGGAAGAATGAAGCAGGGGAAATCAGAGGGGTAGACGAACCATGAGAGACGATGGACTCTGAAAAACAAACTGAGGGTTCTAGAGGGGAGGGGGGTGGGAGGATGGGTTAGCCTGGTGGTGGGTATTGAGGAGGGCACATTCTGCATGGAGCACTGGGTGTTATGCACAAACAATGAATCATGGAACACTTCATCTAAAACTAATGATGTAATGTATGGGGATTAACATAAGAATTAAAAAAAAAATTGCAGGGGGACCCAGCCATGAGGGGCCCCCACATTCATGTTAGCATTACCTCCAGTAGTGGACCTCGTCCTCACAGTGAAGATCAGAGAAAAATTCCCTCATGCTTCTGGCTGGGAGAGGGGTGGGAAAGAATCACTTTGAAATATTCCACAGCAGCATTGTGTTGTACCTAACAAGCTCGGCTGTCAGGAGAAACTATTTAGCCAGAGCATAACCCTGATGGGATTTTATCAGAGCCTAACTGACCTGGGGGAAAGGAAATACCCAACCCTAGCCAGCTCTGGCCTTCCACATGGGAGGAAGGAAACACCCAGATGGCCACTCTAGCCTTCCAAGCCCACCTAACCTCAGAGTGGGGGGCAGAGGGTGCAGACTTTAAAAGCACCTGTGAAGTTCACCACTCTGAGGCAGAGGCCCACTAAAAGACTGAGACCTAGTCATAGGACTATAGACCTTCTCTGCCCCCTACACATTAGCATCACATTACTACAGCTTATTTACAGCTGTTCCTTTTACCCAGTACGTCATGTCTGGCTATCAAGAAAAAAAAAAAAGTACAATCCTAAGAGGCAGAAAACGTAGCTTGAAGAGAAAGCGCAAACCCAACAACAAAACCAGACCCAGATATGGCAAGGATGTTGGAATTATCAGACCAGGAACTTAAAACACCTGTGGTTAATATGCTAAGGGCTCTAATGAATGTGGTAGACAATATGCAATGTAAGCAGAGATGGAAATTCAAAGAAAGAACCAAAAAGAAATGCTACAGATCAAAAACACTATAACAGATAAAGAGTATCTTTGATGTGTTCATTATTAGACTAGACATGGCTAAGGAAATAATCTCTGAGCTTGAGGATATATCAATAGAAACCTCCAAAACTGAAAAGCAAACAGAAAAAAAAAAAAAAGACTTAAAGAAATGGAACAGAATTTGCCAGAACTGTGGGAGAACTACAATCATGTAATATATGCATAATGAAAACACCAGAAGGAGACGAGAAAATGGAAGAGAAATATTTGAAACAATAATGATTGAGAAGTCCCCCCAGATTAATTTCAAATGCCAAACCACAGATCTAGGAAGCTCAGAGAACACCAAACAGGATAAATGAAAAAAAAAAAATCTACACCTAGTATATAATTTTAAAGATCCAGAAAATCAAAGATAAAAGGACATTCTTGAAAGAAGCTAGAGGAAAATAACGCCCTACCTATAAAGGAGCAAAGATAAGAATCACACCCACCTTCTCAGAAACCATGTAAATAAGAAGAGACTATAGTGAAATATTTAAAGTATTAGGAGGGAAAAAACCCACCAACCTAGAAATTTGTATCCTGCAAAATTATCCTTCAAAAGTGAAGGACAGGGGCACCTGGGTTGCTCAGTCATTAAGCATCTGCCTGCGGCTCATTCCAGGGTCCTGGGATCAAGCCCCGCATTGGGCTCCCTGCTCCCCAGGAGGCCTGCTTCTCCTTCTCCCACTCCCCCTGCTTATGTTCCCTCTCTCTCTCTGTGTCTCTCTTTGTCAAATAAATAAATAAAATCTTTTTTAAAAAAAAGTGAAGGACAAATATTTTCTCAGACAAACAAAAATTGAGGAAACTTTGTTACCAATAGATCTGCCTTGCAAAAAATGTTAAAAGTTCTTTAGAGAGGAGGAAACTTATATAGGTCAGAAACTCAGATCTACATAAAGCAAGGAGAGCACCAAAGAAGGAATAAGTGAAGGTAAAATAAAAACTTTGTTCTTATTCTTAATTGATCTAACAGACAATAGTTTCTTCAAAATAATAATAGCAACAATGTAAAAAATAGCAACAATGTATTATATATAATATGTTACATATAATATATATACTTATAATAGCAACAATATATTATATATTATATAATTAACATGATTATGTATATATTATATTATGTGTGTATATATATAATCATGTTAATTATATTATATATATATACACACACACACACACAAATGAATGACACCAATGATACAATGGACATGAGGGAGGAATTAGAAATATTTTAAGTTACTGACATTACCCTTGAAGTAGTATGATGTTGTTTGAAAGTGGACTTGAATTAACTGTAAATGTATATTGCAAATTCTTGGGCAACCACTAAGAAAAGAAAAAAAAAAGTGTATCTGATATGCTAAGAAAGGAGAGAAAATGGAATCACATGGAATGTTCAGTTAAAGCCACAAAAGGTAGAAGAGCGGAAGACAAAAATAGGAATAAAAAAC